TAGGTAACTTGTCCACTGTATGGTATACAGTCCTTCACACACTAGGTCTTGAATCAATATTCATTGAATAAATGAATACATGTGTGTTAAATTCAAAGATATTTTATGAATTTTCTTTGCTGTGCTTCAGCAAATCTTTTAGAAAACTGCCTAACTCATAACTACAGGCAGGCTAAGGAAAGGACTATGATAGTTGGTATGCAGTGATTACAACAATAACAATAATTGCAGTAACACATATGGACATCTTGTGAGTTGGTCATTATTTTGATTTACATGTATCAACTCATTTAATCCTGACAACACCATGAGATAAGTAAAATCTTTATTCTTTTTATTATAGATGAGAAAACTGAGGTGCAGAGAGGTAAAATAGTTGCTTGAAGTCATCCTGTTGTTAAGTAGCAAAGCCAGGATTGAATCCTGAGAGTGGAGCTCCAGGCTGCAATGCACTTAACACCTATGAACTTTCTTGCCTCTAGTACCATGCTGCCTTTCTCGACTGTGGTTCACATAGCCTCTCCTTTGGGCTGAGGCCCAGAGCAAGGTTTCCCTAAGTTCCCCTGTCAGGCTTCTTACAGTCACTTTGGCAAGTACTGTTTTCCAAAACCAAAGGAAACTATGGGTAAACTTCCCAGCTTTCTCTACTGTAAAAAAGGTAAATTGAAGTCATGGAGTAAGGTACAGATCTCTTCCGCTTTCAGGTGGCAGGGGAGGTGAACATAAGTTAGTCTTGTTGTGTTTGCCAGATTACTACCCAGAATATGAAGAAAAAGATACCCAGAATTTTATAGAGCTTCTATAAATCAGATGAGCCAAAGACATGAATAGAAAATTCACAGAGGAAAACAAGAGGCCAGTATCATCTTTATTTAAAAATGAACTTTAGCTAGATTCATTTTTAAAAATTTCTTTTTGCCTTGAGATTGGCAAACTAAAAAAGATTGGTTGAAGCTGGAGAAGGACAGTAAAGATGTGAGTAACAGTGAAAAGTAACTGGGATTGATGGATTACAGGTTCTAGTGAGGCTGGGTTTGTGGTGTGAAAATGAATGAACTGGAATGACAAGAGGTTGGATCAGAAAATGAGATTTTAAAATTGAGAATGTGGAGCATTTGAATTTATTGATAATAACAAGGTCTAGTGCAATGAAGTCCACTAAATATGTATCGTAAGTCATCTCTAAAACTTTAAATTTCCTAGTAGTCACATTAAAGAAAGCAGAAAAATTTAATTTTAATGTATTTTATTTAATCCTGTATGTCCAAAAGAGTAGTATTTGGACATATAATAGATTAATTGTTGAGGTGCTTTCTTTTTTACATAGTAAATCTTCAAAGCTTGATGTGTATTTTACACTTAGAAATATCTCAATTTAGACTAGTCACATTTCAAATACTCAGTAATCACATGTGTCTAGTGACTATTATATTGGACAGTACAGGTCTAGACTATGACCATGGGAATAAGTGGTAGGTTAGAAAGACCAGGATATTGGAAGATAACTTATGTGAATAATGGAATCACCAAGAATGTTATTCAGTCACTAAAAAGTGTGTTAAACCTATATGTAATGAGTTGAGAAGATCTCCAAGATACATAAGCAAAGGGAAATTTAATTTCCTATATGGTATGTATGGGTAATACTGTTTATTTTGAAAAATATGTGAGTTATAAAAGAATACCATAAGGAAAGGGGCATGCTAACTTGATTATGGTGACCTCTGGAGAATGGAATAGAAAAAAGGTGGAATGGGAGTGAAGGGGCACTTGGAAGTCTTGCTCTATTTCTTCTGGATTATCTCACAATGAGAAAGTATTCAAGCACTCATTGTCTCATTGTGTAATAATTTTTTTCTAGCAGCTTTTAAAAAAGATCAGAGTGTAGGTGATATACAATATTATGTTGGCTTTATACAACAGTGATTCAGCAATAATTTACATTATAAAATGCTCACCATTAATGTAGTTAACATCTGTCACATTATTTTATTGACTATATTCCCTATACTGTACTTTTCATCTGTGTGACTTATTTATTTTACAATTGAAGTTTTTACCCCTTTATCTCTTCTACTTATTTCACCCATCCTCTTATCTCCCTTCCCCATGGCAACTACCAGTTCTATGTTTAAAAGTCCATTTGTTTTATTTTTTAGATTCCACAGGTAAGTGAAATCATAGGGCATTTGTCTTTCTGTGACTTATAATCCCTCCTAAGTCCACCCATGTTGTTGCAAATGGAAGGATTTCCTTCTATGGCTGAGTAATATTCCATTGTGTATATGTACCACATCTTTATCTGTTCATCTTATCAACAAACATTCAAGTTGCTTATGTATTTTGGTTGTAAATAATGCTGCCATAAGCATAGGGGTGCATATATCTTTTCAAATTGGTTATTTTGTTTTGAGTAAATTCCTAGAATTGGAATTACTGGGTTGTATGGTTATTTCTATTTTTAATTTTTTTAAGGACCCTCCATGCTGTTTTCCATTCCAATTTCCATTCCCACCAGCAGTGCATGAGAATTCTCTTTTCTCCACATCCTCACCAACTCTGTTATTTCTTGTCTTTTTGATATTAGCCATTTAGACTGGTGTGAAATGATAATCTCATTGTGGTTTTGATTTGCATTTTCCTGATGATTAGTGATGCTGAGCATATTTTCATGTGTCTGTTGGCCATCTGTCTTCTTTGGAAAAATGTCTATTCAGATCCTCTGCCCATTTTTTAATTGGATTGTTTCTTGGTGTTGAGTTGTATGAGCTCTTAACCCCTTGTATATATCATTTGCAAATAGATTTTTCCCATTTAGTAAGTTGTCTTTTCATTTTGTTAATGTGTTCCTTTGCTATGTGGAAGCTTTTTAGTTTGGTATAGTCCCACTTTTCATTTTTACTTTTGTTTCCATTGTCTGGGAAACACATATAGAAAAACTTACTAATGGTTGATGGTTAAGAGTTTACTGCCTGTGTTTTTAGTTTTATGGTTTCAGGTCTTTTATTTAGGTCTTTAACCCATTTTGAGTTTATTTTTATGGTGTAAGACAGTAGTCCAGTTTCACTCTTTTTAATGTAGCTGTCCAGTTTTCCTAACATCATTTATTGATGAGACTGTCTTTTCTCTATCATATATTATTGCTCCTTTGTTGTATTTGTCATAAATCAATTGACCATATAAGTGTGGGTTTATTTCTGGACTTTCTGTTCTGTTCCATTAAGTCATGTGTCTATTTTTGTGCCAGTATCATAGCTTTGAAATATAATTTGAAAATCAGGGCTCATGATACCTCCAGCTCTTTGTTCTTCTTTTTCAAGATTTCTTTAGATATTCAGGGTCTTTTGTGGTTCCATCCAACTTCTAGGATTATTTGCTCTAGTTCTGTGAAAAATGCCATTGGTATTTTGATAGGGATTGCATTGAATCTGTAGATTGCTTTGGGTAGGATGGCCATTTTAACAATACTAATTCTTCCTATCCATAAGCATAGAATATCTTTCCATTTATTTATCATTAATTTCTTTCATCAATGTCTTACAGTTTTCAGTGCACAGGTCTTTTACCTCCTTGGTTAATTTTTTCCCTAGGTATTTTATTCTTTTTCATGTGGCTGTAAATAGGATTGCTTTCCTCATTTCTCTTTCTGCTAGTTTATCATTAGTAAATAGAAATGGACAGATTTTTGTAAATTGATTTTGTATCCTGCAACTTCACTGAATTCATTTGAGTTCTAACAGTTTTTTGGTGGTATTTAGGGTTTTCCATGTATAGTATCATGTCATCTGAAAATACAGTTTTTTTTTTTACTTACCATTTTAGATGCCTTTTATTTATTTTTCTTGTCTGATAACTATGGTTAGGAACTCCAGTACTATGCGGAATAAGAGTGAGAGTGAACATCCTAGTCTTTTCCTCATCTTAGATGAAAAGCTTTTAGCTTTTCACCACAAAGTATAATGTTAGTTGTGGGTTTGTAAAGGTACAGTTTTTTTAATAATTTCTTAAAGAGGTAAAGTATGAATATCATTGCATCTAGTTATATATTTGACTTGGTTCTCCCCCTAATCATCTGCCCTTTTCTCAGAGTTTCAAGAATAATGAATTATTCTGAGATACAAAGCTGGATTTTTTTTTTCTCACTAGCAAGAGTACATGTATTTTAGTTTGTTATATATGATGCCATAAAGCACCTTGTTAAGGCTTCCATTTCTGCTTTGGGTTGTTTAGGCCCTCAGGTGACCTTTGATTAAAGGTAATAAAGAACATTTGGTCTCCCTTTAATTAAAGATTTAAAAGTAAATCTTTAATCTCAAGGTAGATATGGTTGAGACAAGGAGAATGAGCTGTGGAGCTCCATTCTGTCTTATTCTTTTCATCAGACAGTGTACCTTTCCTTAAGCGTATGATAAATGTGTAGCTCAGGAATGCTCTAGGAGACCTAAAGAAGCATGCTGTGATCTTTTTCATTAAACTTCTTGAAGACAGGGACTGAATCTTTATACCCCTGGTACCTGTATTAATGCATAGCAAATAGGCTATTATGCATTAAACATGCAATAAATATTCTTTAAACAGCACAATGAAGATAATTTGTTAATGATAAAAAGCTAGTAAATATATTGAATCAGAGATTAGAGGAAAGGGCTGTACATTATTTCCATATTTTACTTTCTTATGAGTTTATAACTTCTTCAAAATTGATTTTTTTCCCCACAGCTTTCCTCTCTGCCCAAGTAGTTAACAGCCATCTCCTCAATAAGCCCACAGAATTATGTGTATCTCTCTCAAACTCTCTCATGCTTTCACATTTTTCATTTCTAATTGTGAGTTCCTTCTAAGTGAGGACCACTTATTATTATATGTAACAGTGCCTGAGATGCAGCAAGTACTCAGTGTTTGATGACTCAATATATAAATGTATAGATTAGACCTTGAGGCCTCAAACCCATTTCCACATACAATGAACAGAGAAAGATGAAACTTAAACTATTTTTAAATTTAATTACTCAGTATTTATTGAGTAACTGCTACATGCTATGTAAAAGGAACAAAAACAAATTGTTTAGAGCTACTTTTAACTTCCATCAATATCTGAGTCCTGATCATAAAAAAAATCCATTCTGTATTCATTCATTCTTTGGTTAATCTTCAAGTACACTTTTCTCAAGTGTACTTTCAAATATTGCATAATGCTGTAGACCATTAAATATTCCAAAGGTGGTCTGAAAGACTAGAGGAATTACCATTGCTTTTATCTCTGATTGACAAAGCAGCAGCCAATAAAGTAAAACCCTTCCTTTTGGTGGCAGTGGAACAGTATGATACCTAAAAAGGAAAAAAAGAGTTAAGTACTTTTCCTAGATATATATTCTATGAAAGTTCATTGATGTCTCTTAAACTGATACTTTCATATAGATAGCAAAAAAGTTGAAAATTAGCTATTTGAAGTATCAAATGACTATTTTGATTAAAATGTGTTACTGGCAACTAAAGAATATAGAAAGTTTATTAACATTTTTTAAAAAAGGAAGCAAGCAAGAAATGGAACAAACAGATGGACTTACTTGACTGCCAGATGTCCATTTTTAGAAAAAGCCAAAGCACTGGGATACAAAAAACCACACACTATGCCAATCAGTGAACTTCTCAGAACACAATTTTCCTTGCTTATATTACCTGGAAAACAAAAGTAAATTTGGTGTCCCTTTAAAACTCAGGGTAAGAAATATTAGGGCAGCCTTGGGCCCTCAATAGAGTAGTTATCTGTACCGTCCTCAACCACACTGAAGCAGTATTAGAAATTAAGCCTATGGCACATAACAGACAAAATGCACATTATAAAACTGTCTTTATTATACTTTATATAAGGAGAGTCATCTCTTACATATATAGTTGTTATAGAAGCAATTTCATAATGAAGAATATTAAATTAGCAGTCCAGACATCTGGGCTCTGCTAGATTAAAACATTTTTATTGTCTATGTGTCAGTCATGTGCTGAGAATACAGTGTTGAATAAAAGACATCCAATCTCTGTCCTTCAGGTCAATCTACCAGGAAGGAAAGACTTTACGCAAATATTTAAATAAATAATTTTAAGTGTGCACAAAGGTAAAATGAATAGAGAACATATCAGAAATCTAACCTGCCTGAGGGAATCAAAGTTTCCCTGGGGAATAGACATTTAAGCAGTGACCTGATTATAGGAGTTAGAGGTTCCACCAATTATTAGTTGTGAAACTTAAGGTAATGGGGAAGGGCAAGAAATAACATTTGAAGCCCACAATAATGCCAGATACTATGTTAGGCATTTAACTACTAATTCCTATAATAATCCTGTGAGGTGAGTAGTATTATTTTTAATTTCTAGATAAAACAACTGAGTCTCAGAGATTAAATGACTTGCCCAATGTCAAAAAACTTAAGTGATAAGAGGTAGGAACTGAAATCCTGTGTATTATGACAAAACCTGTTTTCTTCCCAGTATATTAATGTTGCTTCTTGTACTTGAACGTATCTCAGCTTTGGTTACTTATCTGTAAAAAAGACAATACTACTTTCCCTGCCTGATTAGGAGGATTGTTGTGGAGATGAAATAGGAAAACATATATGGAGGTACTCTGTCAATGTTAAAGGAATATACAAATGTAAGGGATGATTATCTGTAGTAGCAGCAGTATGTTACTGAGTAATTTTAATTAGACATATGTACATTATACATTAATGAATTTAAATTCACCTGAATATAAAGCATCTGTTACAAGGAGCTTGTAAGAAACTATAGTAGACAAAAATGGAAGTGTAGTCAATGATGCATACGTTTTCAAAGCATCCTGTTTAACCTTGAAGCAGTGTCTGAAAATAAAGTTTGCCAACATTCCAGAGAAACCAGCTGTTGTGCCAAAGAACACTGTTCCATGTGTATATAAATCTCTAAATAGGAAAAACAGAGAAAAATTAAGTTCAATGTAATATTCTCCTAATTGATATAACCTTTCTGAGGTAGTAATTTATTATTACACATTTACTCAACATCAAATATTTCCTGAATATTTACTGTGTGAAAGATATTTTCTATGTGCTGAGGACAGGGCAGTGATTAAAGAAAAAAAAAGATCCAGCCCTCACAGAACTTGCATTCTAATGAGAAGATATAATAAATCTCTTCCTGAGAATATTTAGAGTGGTTATAAAATGGAACTCTTAAAATAAATTTTGGCCACAAGTAAATATGACTGTTTCAGTGTAGCCAAATTTTATGAGATAATCTAAATCCAAGAATACTGCCCTTCCTTCTAAAAGAATTAATGTGCTGAAGGTCATTTGAAAAAAGCTGTTTACATTTGGTTAGGCCTTCTTGAAAATAGCTATTTCTTAATTAGTCCAGATACATTTAAAATAATTTATCTAATATACTGAGACTTCACCCAAAGCAATTTCATAAACCTAGTCTTACTTATTCTAACTCATACTGAAATCTGACATGTCTCAGGTCTAGGATCAATGTCCTTTTACTTTATTCTTAATCTGTATTCATTTAAAGGTCAAAATGGTGATGTGAGACTCTACACACATCATGAAATCTGTATTTTTGCTGAACTCAGCACTATGGCTGAAGTAGTCAACTCTAAAATGAATTTAATTACAACTGGTCATCAATTAAATCTAAGCAGCTTCCAAAATGGTGTTCTCCTGGTTACTTTTAATTTTAAAATGCTTATTGCACAAAAAAACATTTCAACAATAATTGTGGACATTTTTTAAGAAGCAAAAGATTATCCACATCCCAATATTCCAAAAAACTCCAACTATTTTTATCATCCAGGTTTCCTTCCAGTTCTTTTTTTATAACCTTTTTGTATAACCAATTCAATAGTGTTAATAGGATCTTAGATATTCAGAAACAATGGCAATATAGAAAATTTGCAAATAAAGTTATTGTCTTTCTGGGTCATTGCCTGGGTGTGTCGCTTACTTTTCTTTTCTAAGATTATCAATTTTTTTTTCTATCATTTCAATGACTGTTGATCTTTTGAGTTTTGCATCTCCTGGAGAAAGACTGGGCTGATCACGTGTGTTTGTTGCCATCTTGATGTCCTAGAAAAAACAAAATTTCAGAACCATAACTAATGATATTAATATTAAGTCTTATAAATTCTACAGATTCACATGAAAGAATTATTTAGACCCTAGAATTGTGGTACTGTCATCTGCTTTCACATTCTTTATTAATAATCCAATCAGTATTTAGTGAGCTATTATCTGCTAGACATTGCTTTTGATTCACACAAATCAAAAACTTGCCTCAGGAAAGTATGGAAGGATAACTTATTGAGATAATTTAGTTTTTTCTTCTCTTACAGTTTTCCCTGAAGGTACCCCAGGCCCTTTGTAGATCGTCTCGTTCCAGCTTTTTCAGAGCTGGAAGGAAAGAGTAGCTACTTGTTGACAAATTATTTCTATCCTCTGTCTCATGAAAGCCTGAGCTCATTTTGGACATTATGTTGACTTTTCTTGAGAGAAGAGCAGGGATTGCCTCAGAGAACAGTGAGAGAGAAGAGGAAGAGGGAAACTGTTCCAAGCTAGGAAGTGGCAGTGGATCACAGTACTTTGGATTATGTACGTTATATATCTGAGCACCTGGGGTGGACACAGGACCTTTCTTGTAAATTGTTATGTGATATACCAGAGAGCCTGGCCCCGTGGCACTGGGCTCTAGGTCAGAAGGCTCTTGTGTCCCAAGAGTGATGTATGAATAGACAGTTGCCAATGTCCAAGGACCATAAAGGGTTTGGCTAGTAGCATCTTAACAGAAAGCAGTGGTAAAAAACAGTAACAATTGGGTCCTCAGAAAAGATTCTTTCTGATTGTTTAGCTCTGGGTAATCTCTCAGATCTCTGTGATAAATCTTAATAATATTTGTGAAACCTTTTGCCACACTGGCATGACATTCCTAATGAGCTAATGAATAAAAAAATTTATGGCCCTTCACAATTTATATCAGTTTCCATTTTAACAACATTTATAATCAAGGGCATAGAAGAAATCTTAAATTTCCAGAGTCCTGGGCAGGAGAATTAGAATGGATTAAGCATAAAGAACACATAAGGTACTTTATAAATCAGTGATTCCCATCCTTTAGCATGCATGAGAATCAGGTGGGGAATTTCTTTGAAATGTGGTCTCTTGATCTCCCTCCTGAAATAATCTGGATTCTGTAAGAGCAGAGTGATGTCTAGAAATCTGCCCTTTCAGAGCTCCAAGTGATTTTGATGTTGGCAGGCAATGGACACATGTTGAACATCACTGTAATACTAATTTGCTGAATAAGGGATGTTACCAGTCCTGACTCTGTGAAAGGCCAATTCATCCACGGCATCAGCTTCCTGAAGGTATGGACACCTCTGAACCTTCTACAGATTACATAATGAGCAATAATGGGCCAGTTTCTTTCCCTGTGCCATTGCAAACTGTACTCAAGCCAGTCCTATGTTCTTCTTTAAAATATCTGGGGAGGACAGGAAAAATGTTTTTCACAAATTATAATTTCTCAGAGACAATTTAATCTTTTGCCTTTCTGACATCTAAATGAAAAATAGGAGAGAAGAGACAGTAATATCTAAAGGAGATTCTATATCTAATCCATCTACTGTACTATGAAGGCAGATGTCAATAAATGACAACCATAAACCTTGGATGAATTTTTGTTTTGCTGATATCCAATTCACTGAAGTCCCTTACTTTCCATAAAGAAAACTTGTACTAAGCTTCCACTTTGTCTTAATTCTCAGTATACAGGGAACAGATATCCAGGATTATAATCCCAAACAACTGAAACACGACTAAAAATATTGCTTTGGAAGGCATTGTTATTAAAGCAAAGAAATAGACTGGTAAATTCACTGATAGACTTTTATCAAGTACTGAAATGTAAAGATTTTGCTATAACCAACGTCTTACCTAAAAATTAACTAGTTCAAGGCCACTCAACAGGTCACGATTATACCGGCAAGAGTGCATTTATGTAGATTTATAGTTTGCAGAGCATTTTATGGTTTTGTAATGCTTTTATGTGTATTATTTCACCTGATCTTTAGAGTTTTATTCAACATTCACTCATCGTTTACGCAGCACCTGGTAATTGACAGCCCCCGGGATAATCAAGATGTAGTCACGTCCTCAGGAATCCCAAACCCACGCGGAGTCAGAACAAAAAGGCAGAGAATTTAAACGCAGAATGAGTACCATCAAAACAAAACAAAACAAAACTCAAAGCCGAACACATAACAAAACCAAATAACCTAGCCAGGCTACGTGTGGGAAGGTTTCCTGGAAGTGACATTTTAATGAATATCCAAAAGATGAGAGTTTGGCTAGAATGGGGTGGAGGATTAGGCAGGGAGGCATATCAAGTTTAAGGAAAGGCCAATGCAAGTCCCGGAGGCAAGAGAAAACAAGCTGCAAGACATAGGGACTAGACTTAAGGTCGCCTGCTTTCCCTCCGCCTCCCTCCATAGACCTGGGGACTTAATTGTGCCCAGCAAGGACTTGGGAGCTGTTCTTTCTAGATTTTCAAATCCCTTTTACGTGCATCATTTATGTCAGAAGAGTCCGCCAATACTTCGAGTTTGCAGAAATCACAACTCATACCACCCCGATTCCGCCTACCTTGGGCACTTCCCCAGTTCCCACCGGCACCACACCTGCTTCCCTCGGGTCAGCCCTGGCCTCCCGCCCCAGGGCCGCCATCTTGGCGGTTCACGTGACCAGCGGGTGGGCGGGGACCCAGAACGCCAGGGGCGGGAAATGGTGCGGTCCCACACCTCTCGCGTGCCGCCCGGGCCCGCCCCGACCAGTCAAAAGCCGCGCTCTCCATCGGGGCTGTGATTGGGAGCGGTTTCCAGAAACGGAAGCCTCTCATTGGCTTCAGAGAGGTCCGGTCGCTCGTGGGCCCGCCTCCCCAGCAGCTCCGCATTCTCTTCCCCTGCTGTTTGCGGAGCACGTTTTCCCAGCCTGGAAGGAACGTGGGGCGGTGCCAGCGCAGCGAGCTTGCTGTGCGTTCTCCTCTCCTCAGGGCATCTCCCTTAGTTGGGCTGAGCCGTCAGCCCCGGTCGCTCACGAGGAGCTCGCCCCTGCGGTCCGGCCCTTGTATTAAGTCTGGCTTCTCTGGCACCTCCTGCGCAGCACCCCCAACCGGCCGCCGGGTTGGTCCCTACTAGCCTCTTCCCTTCACAGCTATCTGACTCCACTCCCCAGTCTTTAGTCTCACATGTGTGCCGTCCTTTCACCCCGCTTGGCAAAGGGACCGCGGAGAGATTTGCTCCCACCACGAGACGACCCCCTTGTGCTTCGGAGTGGGGGCCGCTGCGAGGAGGCCTGGCGTCCTTGCGCGTTCAGTGCTCGGCAGTGTCTCCCAGACCAGCAACCCCGACCCTCCAGTTTCCATGTCTTAGAGAAGCCAAATTCGAGTTATATAATTTCTAGGGCTGCTGTTTCTGCTGCCTGAGGAAACACTTCATCGCGTGGAGGGTGCAGGACATTGCTGCTCGTCTATATGAGGACGGGGTTTGGGCTGGGGGGCCAGCGGTAGCCGAGAGATTCCTTGTCTTTCCTCTAAAAGGAAGGTGGGTAGTTTGGAGAGAGATTGAGACAGAGGGTGGATGTGGCAGCCAAGCAGCCGAACTCTCATTTAGGAAATCGCGACCCATTTGCACAGCTTGCGCTCAGGTACCTAATACTACTACAGCTTCTCAGAAAACACCTTCTGCGGGAAGGTTTGACTTCTCTCGAACCGTCTCCGTTTTCCTGTTTTTAAAAGCTTAACTGTGGAAAGCTGCTTGGATACGAAGAGATGGCATGATGTGAATGACTCCAGTGTGAAGAAATCTGCTTCGCCAACTCATCCTGCATCAAGTGCCCATTGAACAGCACTGTCCCTTTAATGTCTCCATGCCAAGGGATTGCTTTCCTCCTTTTCAGTCCTCTCCGTTAATAAATGGGAGGATCAGAATCAGAGGGGCTGTAAGGATCAAGCCCGAGGGGCTTGGAGAGCACGGGAGAAAAAAATGAAAGTGACACGAAGCTGGATCCTGTCTTACTAAGGGGGTGAGATCTGAAACTTCTGGTCCAGTAAATAGAAAGGGGCCTTTCAGTCTGTGTTCTGCTCCAGAAAACTGTTCAAATTCACCCACCTTTTTAGAGACCACAAAGAGGTTGTAGAAAAGTGTTTTTTGAGGGGAGTTAAATTTTTCTTTAAAGAAGTGAGAATCTTCATCAACCAGTTCATCTTAGATTTTGACTATGTATTGGGTAATGAGACAGCTGTGTGAATTTGGTTTGTGCCTTAACCGATTTAGTCACTGAATTCCAAAAGTGTTACTTTCTGAAGAGGAGTTTTAATAACGTTTTCTGTGCTTACAATAATTTTCTCAGCTTTTTTAAAACAATACTTATTTTATAAAAATTGATAAACTTGAGAAACTCAGAAGTTATTTTTCTCTAAACTGGGCAGTGTCAAAAGCTTAATTGTGGAAAAAGAAGAGAAGACAGCCTGGATTTCAAAATTAACAGTGAGGTGGTTTGCAACAGTTACCTGGCTCTTGGCCTTAATCTAGCTGGAACAAGCTGAGATCTGAAAAGAGACGTGAATCCTGGGGCAGTGGAAAGACCCAAGAATGCCAGTCAAGAAGAAAGGTGGGCTATGAGGCTTCCTGTATGTTTCTCCCTTCTCCTGGTTCTGGTATTAGCAGTTTAAATTGTATTCCATTTAAGAGTAAAATTTTGCTTGGGTTTGGGAAAATATTCAGTGTAATAATGTCTTTTCTATGGTGTATCATTCAGTAATTTTGCTTAGGTAAAATGAAGTAGGACTATACTATTTAATTACAGACATTTGTGATTTCATAAATCAGCTTGTCTAAGTCACATTTATAATCAGTATAAGTTTGATACCACAGATTTAGGATTTTCTTTAGCTTGTTTTCTTAGCTTGTTAGAGGTTAATTCTGAGCAATTTTTAAAAAGAAACTTATACAGTGGAGTTCTTCCTCATGGATTTAATATTTTCAAGTGAATTACATACTCTAAAAGAGCAAAGTTGTTTGCACTGAACAAAGTTAGATTTATCATTTATCTTTTTGATTAAAAAGTTGATTTTAAATTTGGTTTACTGTGTAAGTCTTCACTTTTGTGATAAAGCACAACTAACTGCGGTGCTTTTCCAGATGTCTGCATTATCCAATAACATGATTGGCAAGTTCTCAAATGAGGCAAACACCTGACTCCCCACTACCACCTCCCCAGAACTGCTCAAGATCTGGCGGGTTCCTTAAGTATAGTTTATTATAGATCAGACTTTGGGGATTCACTTTATCCTAGAGCTACCACAGGTTAACTTTGTTCCTAAAGATCCCAGCGAAACCAGATGGTTCTTTTTGACATAGTATGCACGATCAGGTCAATTATAATGAGTTTTCCTGAAGTTTTGAACCAAAATTTATATGAACACTCTTGACCCCTACTATACTGTGCTAGTATAGATCCAACTGTTGACCAGTTATGTGAGTTGCTACAATCTGAAACCAAAGCTCAGGGTGAAGGTTAAAGTGCACCCTGGCTCTGCACAACGTTTAATCTTTCTACCTGTGGATTGGAAGGTGCACTGAGGAAATTTAAAATCTGTGAGATGCTTTATCCAACTGGTATCTGTAGAGACGGATAATGACGTGCAAAATCTTTGAAACTCCCACAAATGTAACCTTGTGCCTGGGATTTAAGACTGGGGTTGTTTCCTTCTCTCACTCTCTGTCATGATATCACTGAGAGAAGTAAACTCCCTGTGACATTTTGGAGCTACATCTGTTCAGATCTGCCACAGTTGTTTTATCTGGAACAAGAATGGTTTTGGTTAATGTGGCCAATAAATGATATGGCTCTTTGACTTATTTAACTTACTGTGTGTTTTTATTCTTACTGCCATTTACTGTTCTCTAGACACTGTCCCTTTTGGATTACCTTATTGTAGACTAATAATTGAATTAAACACATCTTGCGTGTGTGTGTGTGTATGTGTGTGTGTGTGTGTAAGAGAGAGAGGGATGACAGAGGGAGAGAAGGAGAGAGAGAGAGAGATCAAGAGAGACAGAGGAGAAGGGAGGAGATAGAAGGGAGAGAGAGGGAGAGAGAGAGAAAGAGAGGGATAAAAAGATGTTTGGAAAAGGAGGTGGAGGAAGAATGATTGATGTTCTTGGTACAGCTTAACAAATCAAGCAGGTGATTTTAAGGTTTCTAGCTGCAGTAGACATTTCCCTTTAAGTTCCTACCTTTAAAGAAAGGTATAAAAATTGCTGATAACATTATTGAAAATCATACTTTATGAGAAATAATTTAATGTTTATTTCTTTTCTCCCTCCCTCCTTCCCTCTTTCTCTCACTCCCTTTCTGCCTTCTCTTTTTTCTCCTTTCCTCCTTTTCTTCTTTTCTTCTTTAACAATGCATTGATTATCATGGATCAACTTTGTAAAGGAATCAACAGGTTTGAATGAGCAAAGCAAGTATATAGTTGGAATATACTAAAGCATGTACATTATGTAATTCATGAGCTGATGCAGTTAGAAAAAACTCATCATTTTTAATCTCTTAAACTGATTAGTATAAGATACATATTTTTGAATCTTATATACAACTAGCCAAATTATGACATGTACACTATATTTTTAACAGGCTGAGCTAACTATTGGTACAATTTCTAATATAAAACTAAAACAAATATTTTAAAGTATAACCTAGATTTGTTCTTCAGAGGGTCCTATCCTTGGTCATCTTGAATCTTTTATGTTTCTTCATTGTTTCATGTGGTAGATATGATGGGAGAGCTAGATGTACTATAATTTTAACAATAACTATCCTCATTGAGCCAAGAGTTTTTTCACTGTTGAATATATTCCTATTAAAATAAGAACTTTTCCTAAGAAAGATTTCCACTTGACTTTTTTTTGCATGTTATTGTGAGAGCAGAGAGGAGATTCTCTGGGTACCATAAGCCATGGTGGGAGGAGGGAATGGGTGTGACATCTCGTGTTTTTCTTTTTTTGTCTTCCTCACTCTGGGGAAGGGACCCCATAAGAACTCTTCCATTTATTCCTAACTCATTTAAAGTTTTCTTCTTTCATTATGTGTTTCTTGCTTTTTGTGGCTTAATTTCTTTTTTGTAGTATCTTACTAATTTCTATTTGCCTCTCATTATCTGGGGATACTCTCTTTCCATCAACAGATTTTCCTAAATTCTTAAAATAATTTTTTTCAGATTCGTTAAAAGGGAAAATATGTATCTGAATTTATTGACTGCACCCGAGTGGGTATTTTACTCTCTTTGCATATATTTTACTAAATTTGTGCTTGAACTTTCATGTTCATCACACCAGTGTTATGTCCAGATGCTTTTTCCATTTCTCAAAACTTCATGTTTTGTTCTTTTTCCTAGCCTATACAACTGAAAAGACTTAAGCAATGACTCTTCCCAAGAAAGGATGGGAAATGACAGCTTGTAAACTTTTTCAATTTCTGTAACAAAGTAAAATAGATAATTTACTAAAGATTTTTTTAGATTTCAAATCCCTCAAAAAAGTCATCTTGGCCTTAGTAGAGAGAGCTATTGGAAATCATGATGCCACAGACTTTTGATGTTGGAAAATACTCATCAATCCAGGAATCATAAAGAGAGACCATTCTGGAGAGAGAGATAGAAGAATACTTTTTATATTCAAGTACTTATTAGGAAACAATAGGCATAGAGCTAACAATGATCTGTTGATTGGTTTATTTTACAGTTCTTGTATATTGGGAAAGTGTGCAGGTGATAAGTTAATGACTTGATACCATAAAATATTTGAACTGTTAGGTTTTTGGAAACTGCTCAAGTGCTCCATACATGATAGAATATTTGATCTCTTCTTTAGGCCTATTACTGGTTACTTCTTTGGGTTTTAGAGTCTAGTCAGAGGGAAGACATACACATAATATTGTGTTTTTAAAACACTGAATTAAGACATTCAATTTATTCATGACTTTGCCAATCAGTCAGTCCTCCACTCTTCTATAACAATGTATTCACTAAACTGCAAGAATGCTCTTTTCTTAATTGCATTTTCTCCTTATATGCTCTTATTTCTTAACATTTACTGTGTAATCAAGTATTATATGTATAAAAAATATAGAATGCTGCAATATATAAAATCTCTTTTACTGTGGGAGAGGACCTGTTCCCCAGCTATAATTCCTACTCAGGAATTTGTAGCAGTCAAGCCATGAGAGCAATGGATGATCCTCAATGTAGGTTGCTTTGTCAGCAAAGGATCATGAGTTTTACCCAGGCTCTTCTGTCCAGTCAGTCATTCTGAATTCCAAGTAGTAAGCTTTTTGTGTAGGTTCAATTTTTAGTAAGTTTCTCAAAGCTATTTCAAGAATTATGGCCAAATCACCTCCATTATGAAACAATTCTCCTGACCCCATTTGTTGTAGGATTTGAGGCCAAGAGTAATGATATGTTATAAAGTCAAAAATCCTGTGAAAATGAATTATTATGTTAAACTTTCTAAGGTTAGGGGTAATATTATGTATCCCATTTCTTCTGATGACACCACTTACTGTCAGGGTAAGATGCTGAGGTTTCTGTGGGGGCCTATCATTTTGGAAAGTTGTGATAATATTTTTATCATTGAAAATATGATAAGACTTGGAATAAATCTGTTAGGTTCTGTTCTATTTAGAATCCCTTATAGGTAATAAATTATTAATTCTCTTAAAAGATTAACTTGTGTATGTATTTAAGGCATTAGCTTTACTTCCATTTATTCATTCAATCATTTATCCATTCAACACAGATTTATTGAGTGCCTGCTATGTACCAGGCACTGAGTTAGGTACATGTTTTGCAGTGGGAAATGAGTTCAGTCTCTGTCTTTAATATATTAAGGAGAATGATGTGGGAACAGGTAATTTCAGTGTCTCATGATGGGGTTAACACAATGTGCCGTGAAAACTGATGAGGAACCCCCAGCCTCATCTGAGAGAATCAGGGAATTCTTTCTAGAAATGTGACATTTAAGATGAGATGCAACAGACCAGTAGAAGTTTACCACAATGTGGGGAATGGTGAGATGCTGTTTCAGATCATTAGTTTCTTTGCCTTGAGCTATCATCATATCATCACCATGATCTCTGTCATCATCAACAGCAGTGGCAGTGACATTGTGGGAAAACCTACACCAGTAGCCAGAAGACCTGACTTCTGAGAGAAGGGACAAGATCAGATAGTCACTGAGATGGACTCTCAGTCTATAAATTTAGGTATGTAAGAAATATCCATTTCTTTTCTATAGTTCAACTTTATTTCTGATTCTTAGCCACTGAGTGGTGAACAAAATTACTCCAATCCTTTTTTGAGGTTTTCCCTGCTTCCTGGGGTTATGGTGGAGTTCCATCTGGAACAGGGGTATACACTTGCCATTGATCATCCATATATAAAACTGTATCTCTGAGACATATGAGTTGTTGTGTCTAGATAATTCTTCTTGGTCTGGCACTGATTTGCTCCTTGCAAAACATGGGTGTTTTTCGCTGCCTAAAATTTCTGTGTTTCTGTTTTCCTAGAAGAATTGTGATGCCATTCCTCTGGGGTGTCTTTCTGCCTTCCA